TTTTTGGGCTAGGCGGCCGAATGAAAGGCAAGACTGCCCTGTCTTCGAAAAGGAACTCCTCGAAGACACGGCCGCAATCTTGCCTTTCATTCGGCCGCCGAGCCAAAAAATATTACTTTTCATCTGTTTTCTTCAGCCAAAGATTTTTTTAATTTTATTTTTCGCAGTTCTTTGGATGAAGCCTCTCGATTAAGGCAGAGATCGCCTTGTGATTCACCAATCAACCAAATAATTATGCAGCTGAATTGGTAAAAAGTGAATTTCCATTTTAGAGGAACAAACGAAATACTAATCTCAGATTTTTCGACGCACGTTTAGGGTACTTATCTTGGCGCTCTCGTGTGGATCAATAAGTATTTGATAGCAAATCGGAGCCATAAAGTACTCAAAAAAGAGGATTTAGAGAGAGTATTCATCGATGACCGAAATCGTTGAAGTCCTCTGAGTCACTCCCCCACTTCTTGTGCCAAAGTTCGTATTAATAATTATTAAAATAATAATAATTATTTGATTAATAATAATTAAAATAACAATAATTGATTAATTCTTGTTGAAATAATAATAATAAATTAATTACTAATTATTTGTATAAAAATAATTAATCAGTTCAGAATTATTTAAATAATAATAATTATTCAATGAAATAGGTGTTCGTATCGAACGCAAATATTTCTCATCTCTAGGTGGAGAATTGCCCAAAATCGAATGAGCTGATGAGCCCTCAGCGCATATCGGGCAATTTCAGATTTTCGCAGTCCTTCTATTTTCGCTGTTCAATATTTATTTATTTCTGACATTCTGACACCTTTTTTCGCCCAAGCCGCGTCTTCGAAGGGACCTTGGCACCGCCGGCCTCTGCGGGCGCCACTGCGAGTGGCGCCCGCGGGGGTCAGCAGCGCCAAGTCCTCTGCAGGGTTGCACGGTCAACACGGTGGGTCCGACGCACCCCTCTGACCTGGGCCCGCGTGACCCCCTTCACCCCGCCAGGATGTTCGCTCAGGGAATCTCCAAAGCCGGAGATTCCGAGAGCGAGCGTCGAGGCGCGACAAAGAGGGCAGGCCCAAGTCAAAGGGATGTGTCAGGCCCACCAAGTTGAGCGCGCAACCCTGCGGAGACCCAGACTGCCCAAACGAGACGTCCGAGAAGGGAGGGTGCCCTTTTCCGAACACCTCCCCCGCACGTCTCTGGCCCTGCCGATCGTTTTGGGGACATGGGGCGCCTGGTCACTTTTCACGACGCAACCCGCTCAACCTCGCTATTTGTTTTAACCGCAAGTGCCAATTTCGCTGGGGCACATTTCGTCGCGATTAATTTGAGTTCGAGCGGCTCTTCACAGACCCAGAGTGTCCAACCTTTTCCAATTCAGCCAAGTAGGTCATTGTTGAATAATTGAAGCAGCATTTCATGTTCCGTAGAAATCATTTTATGAACGTTTTTTACTAATGTGTTTATTTTTCCTCATTTGAGGTGCCGCTCTATTGGACAAATCAGGATAAAAAAAAATCAACGGTTCTCGCCATTCAAATCAGGTCTTGTAAGCCTCGCAGATTTCCTTACATCGAGTTGGACACTCTGGCTAAATTTGTTATAATTTTTTATCTATTCGAAGCAAAATAAAAATTAATTGATGCGCCAAAGAAACGCTCGCAGGTGGCCAAGTTAGGCGATGCAGTGAAAAATCACCGCAAGTGATTCCTCAAAAATATCACAGTCAGTATCACAAGTTTATCTCACTTTCCTGTTGCACTTCGGAATAAATATCCAACAGAATGTATCGCAGGTTCCCTCTTGGCAGGAGAGAGAAAAAATCACAGCCGTTTGCTTTGGATTTTTTGCTGCTCCGTTTGCAGAGCGCAGATTCTTCTGCTGCAGATTTTCCATTTTTTTTAATAAGTGACCAGGCGACCAGGAGAACCGTCCCTAATTTCCTTTCCTAATTGCCTAATTTTCCTACTGTGGCCCGGACCAGCCCCGTGACGACGTCTGCCGGAACCAACAACTTGCAGTTTTTGACCAGTTATATTAACAATGAGCATTTTTTCATTCGCACCCGGATTTCTACATTGACCGCGACACCTCTGCCTCCTGTTCTCAATAATCGCAAATGACAAAGTCATATTCACGACGACGACGACGTCGAATTTTCTTATTTGTGGAATTTCGGATATAACTAATTTCAAGTTCCAATTCGCACCGTTTCAGTGCCCTTTTCAAAACATCAGTTTCTTTTGTCCTGCACTATTTGCAAAAAAGTCTTGCAAGCAAATAATTGAGTTTTCACACTACTAAAAATTACTTTTCAGATCGCAGTAGATGAATGAGCCTTAGCAATATGTCTGCAAAGATGCTCAGTTTGTTGGCCATTATGGCTGGAAGGCAGAGGCGCGCTAAAATTAAGACGAACAAGATTTTGGTCTCACTATCAGTTAACCCTTGGTCGTTGAGCTTGTTTTCGCAATTTGAGTGTTTTCGTGGCAGAGTTTGCAGAGGTCGCGGTGTAATTCATACACCTTTACTATTAAATTGCAAGCAGTGCATTCACCGCGCAAATAAACTTCAGTGATAATTTCAATTTCTCAAGTTTTATTCTATTGTTTTACTTTTCTAAAAACCGGCAACGAGCAATTCATTCGATTTTTCTGTTTTTATTTTTTTATTTAATGATTATTTTCTCTTTGTAGAGTTGATGTTCTTGAAATAAAGAGACAATCCTGAACATCTGTTATTTCTTGGAGCTTCTAGATAATTGCTCCTAACTATGACAAATACCAGCTCTAACATTCATGCTAATTTTTCTTTTTAGAGCGGTGATTATTTCAATCGCTCGAGTTAAATTCTATTTTTCTTTTCTTAAATCAGGCAACAAGCAATTCATCGAATATTTGTATATTTTATGTAATTTGATGATTTTTCTTTTCTTCATAGAATTCTTGACATAAAATAGAGACTTTCCTGAACATGTGGTATTTTTTTCGAGCTTGTAGATAATTGCTCCAAACTAAAAAAAATCACCATGCTACTTTTTCTTTTAATAATAATTATTTGGGAGTTTGATTTCTTGACAAAGATTGTAATATTAAATCGCATCACTATCCATTTTTTTCCTGGATCACAAAACAGCGAATGAACTGAATATTCAGTTTGTTTGTCCAAATATAAATTTTGCTTTCAGGCTTCCTCCCAATCAGTTTCGGTCGGTAAATTCTGTCGAAAATCACTTGTACTTGCAGGTTTAATCAAAAATTTTATATTACTGATATTTCTTGATTTGGGCACGACTTACAAAAAGATTTAATTTTTTTATTCTTTTCAATAAAACTTTAAAAAAAATTTATTATCTCTCAAAAAGAAGATACTATAACACATGTCTGGTGCCGTTTGAACCAAATTTGGTGACATAACAACTCTGATTCCTAATTAATGCATTCTATTTTCTATTTTTGCATTAAAATTTCTTTACTGGCTCAAGAGCCTGAGTAGAAAGCGCATTATTTCAACGCTTGAAACGCTTCTATCGAGGTCACCGTACGTGCGAGTCCGAAAAAGCACTTTCGGACGAATTCCTTTCGGATGAAAGGCGATTCACCTTCTTTCGGTCAAAATTCTGTTTTCATTAAAAACATTCCATTCTCGGTAGTCAAGCATTGATTGCTGATTCAGAAATTCATTATCAATCGTCAAGTATATCGCAGTTCGTCAGATTTTGCTCGCAGTATTCACGTTGATTTTTGTCAAATATTTTCTCATGTCACGTTATTTCTTTGAATTATTTGGCGCAGCTACTTTACTGCCCAGGCACCTTTATTTAAATATTTGTCAGAATTAACTGAATTAAGAGCATTTCATTATTTCTACTCTCGTTTGTAAAGCAGATTTACATTAATTTAAATTAAAAAAACGACTTCAATATCCCAGAAAATTCAAGAGAGTTGAATATAATTAGCAAAAGAGTGCCGAGCGTCTCTCGGTTGTCCATTGGCCGCTTTGCATCAAACGTGGGCCCTACGATCAAGGCAAGCGCGGCAAATGTCCAACTGAGGCAAAGGTAATGATTGTTTTTTCTCCCACCTTCCCTCAGAGTTGTTTGTCCCTCGAACCTATCATTTATGAAATCAAACTCCACTCATTGTAAACTTTGAAAACGATTGACCTCTGCAAAACTGCAAACAGGCGGGCTGCAAATACGCCAAATACACAAAATCAATTTTCCTTCGTGTGACCATAATAATTTATGAAATTTGTTTCTATTTGTTTTATTCCATTTTCGACTGCATGATCACGCAGCAAGTCCCAGTGGAGGCCGAATTATTATTATTATTATTATAATTTTTTTTTATAAAATATCGCATTCCTTAATAAACAAATATTTAATTTTTTTAACACAAACTAGCCGAGCATAAACAGAAGAATTAACTTTTTCCAACGGCAATTTTTTCAATGGCAATCAAGTTATCGTTGCAAATTAACAATAAATTACTCTACTTTATAAGCAAATGAGTATACAGAATTTGTTAGTTTAAATCTTAGTTTAAAATTTCTCTAATAAAGGAGAGCTTTTTGACTATTCCGAATGCGGATTTGCTCTTTAAACAAATCATCAAAAGATACAGAGGCTTAATAAAAATCTTCCTTAGTCTTGTTCCCATGCCATACTAAATTATATTAATTTATTCAAATTAAGCCTGTTTATGGTTCGCCTAAACTATAAGCTGCAGTGGTATTTGGTGCAATTTGCAAAAAAAATCATTATAAAAGCACCGTATTGAACTATCGAGTCTTGATAAAAACTAAACGCAAAAAGCCACTCGCGTATGTCTCTTCTCTTTCAAGCCGCAATGAGAAAAAATTATCAAGAGCAAAAATGATCAATATAAATCAAATACATAAAAACAAATATGCTACGGACGCGACTCGACGCGAAAACCACACGACCTTTATGAAAATTTTTAAAGTTTTGGATCGGCATTTTAGATTTTGCACGATATCATAAAGCTGTTAGACTTAAGTCATAATCAGAAGAAGCCCCACTTAAACCTAGTTGCAAGTGACGGAAGGGAAGTTAAATTAAAATCGCCGTGACGCCAACGGAATTGTTTAGAGCAATTTTAACAAACCGATCTTAACAGCTTTTTTCAGATTTTTTGAATTGTTTGGGATATAAAATGGATTTGAATAAACTACGTTAAACGATATTCATGAAAAAAATTAAAAAAAAATTGAGTTCATAGAGGGAGCACCCATCTGGGTGGGTAAGCTTAGTGAAGTATAGGCAGATTCAGGACGATTGACTAAAAATATCGGAGAAAAATATTAGTTCTCGATAAAAATGCGATAAAATAAAATGATCCGCGCAAAACAGACGAGTGCTGAAAGTAAAAAATTTTAGTTGGTACTCACCAAGGGTGGGCGCCTCAGTTGGTGTAGACGAAGGTGGCAAGGTTGGCGTTTCTCTCAAGGCAGTGGTGGATTTTTGCCTTTGCCACCATCGCTGCAGCCCTCGTGGATCTGCGAGGTCCAAGCACAGGTGGAGCTCTCCAGTCTCGCCTTGGACGCCTCGCTACCAGTGGGTTTGCTGCAGGAGCAGGGGCCGGGGCCGCCACAGGTTGAGCTGCTGGGATGGCAGCAGCAAGAGGGGCAACCACTGGCCGAGTAGGGATGGCAGCAGCAGCAGGAGCAACCACTGGTGGAGGGATGACCGCAGGTGGTGCCAAGTTAGCTGAGGAAGCGGCCAAAGCTCCAGGGGTGGCGATCTTGTAGTGTTGATGAATTTTGTCCGTAGCTGACTGGGCAGCTGCCCTTGTAGATCTGCGAGTGTAGGGCATGGCCTGCTGCCTCGCCTTGCGGTTCTTTTTCAGCGTAGGGGCGACCAAAGGAGCCACCAGCGCGGCCACGGGGGCGACCGGCGCGGCCACAGCGGCGACCGGCGCGGCCACGGGGGCGATTGGCGCGGCCACTGGGGCGACCGGCGCGGCCACGGGGGCGATTGGCGCGGCCAAGGGGGCGACCGGCGCGGCCACTGGGGCGACCGGCGCGGCCACGGGGGCGATTAGCGCGGCCACTGGGGCGACCGGCGCGGCCACTGGGGCGACCGGCGCGGCCACTGGGGCGACCGGCGCGGCCACAGCGGCGACCGGCGCGGCCACGGGGGTGATAGGCGCGGCCAAGGGGGCGACCGGCGCGGCCACTGGGGCGACCGGCGCGGCCACGGGGGCGATTAGCGCGGCCAAGGGGGCGACCGGCGCGGCCACTGGGGCGACCGGTGCGGCCGAAGGAGCAGGAGCAGCTTGTAGGTAAGGCGCAGCAGCGTTGGCAGCAGCAGCGACAGCAGCCACAATCTTCGGTGACAGCGCTGCAGACATATTTTCCATAGAAGGCTGGTCAGAGGCAGCAGAGGATGCTGGTGAAAGGGCTGCATCATCATCGTCGTCGTCAGGGAAGTCTTGGACTGACGGAGAGAGGGCAGGTGACCATGTTGCGGGATGAGAGGCTGGTGACGCTGAACCTGAAGGAGATGATCTCGTAGATGCAGGGGATGCATCAGCAGCTGCAGCAAAGTTGTCCTGGGGGACCGCATCAGCCAAGGCTGCCTGAGGAGCGTTTGCAGGGGCGTTGGTGGGGTCCATAGGCCGAGCAGACGGTGCAAGGGTAACCTCATGAACCACATTGAAGTTTGCACCAATAAGATGCTTTGCAACTTTGGAGGCCCACCGTGTAGACGATCTGCTTCCTTTGTTGAGTGGTTCCGTCGCCATTCTCGGCTGCTTCCGTGTCCTCTTGACCTTTGTGGGCTCCAAGCGCGCAACCTTACAAGGTTTGGGCCGGTCACGGAACTCTTTCCACAGAGCCTTCCTTTTCCGGTTCATCTACAATTATCAAAAATAAAATTATTTAGAAAAACCCAATCCTCTCAATCCGAATCAATTGAAGATTATGTCAACAGCAAAACTTTTCACTATTAATTGCTAACTCCTTTCCAACCCAATCCTTATTCTCCAACCATGGGAAAAACTAGTCTTTAATGATAGGACCAAGAATTAACATCTTTATCCCGAACTATTAATAATATTTTGGCCCTCCGTAAACTTTAAAAAAATTGTCGGTCAATAAATAATATTTGACGAGTTTTTCTCTAACATATATGAAAAAAAATCTACCTTGCAGAAAATATTTTTGTGGTACATACCACCAGGTGGTGTTCAAGTACCACATCGTTTTAAAAGTTTACCACATTTTGCGTTACGACGCACCACTAAGTCAAAGGGAGTACCACGAGAAATAGGGCAAGTACCACGAGGTGGTACGATTTTAACACGAACGGCGCTCGTGCTACTATCGTGGACTCGGTCTCTTGTCGCAATCAAAAAATTTGTGAAACGTGCCAAGTTCTTTGAGCGCAACAGGCGCACTGTTAGCTGCTTCTGCTTAATATATATTTAATTTTCTCCGCTCTCAAAATACACATTAAATTTTCATTAAAATTAAATTTTTTTGTTTTATTCAAAATCAATGCAATATTGATTTAATAAAATAATTAAATTTTTTCCAAAAAATGACAAAGTAAATTTTTGTAAATTAAAAAATTCAAAAAATTAATCAAGGGCAATAAATAATTATTTTATTTTATATAGAATGTTGCTGGTAAGTCTTGATCACTAATTGAGGAGATAATTTTAAAAAAATGATTAAATTATCACTTTCCACCTTTGAAGGTTCTCAAAATATGTGTACAAAAAGCTGCACATATTGTTCACAGCGCATTTTTCTGAAGCAGATGGCGTGTTTGTGAAGTTGTTTCCTACCCTGCAAGCAACCTGACCTTCCCCACCTAACCTGAGCCAACGGACGTTTTTAGTGAGAGCAATAGGGATGCACAAATGGCGATGTCGCTCGGATCCGTGCGCTCTTCAATATTTTGCGCTTATTGTGCCAGTAAATCGCGTTCAAGACTTTAGATAATTGTGTGATTTGTTAGCAATAGTTCACTTTTAACGCGGAACTGCATCTGGCCGACGGAAATGCTGAACTTTTAGTTATCGGCGCCGACAGTTGGACGTTTACAAAAATGTGTTCCTCCGACACAGGCAGACACCAGCAAAAAAGCAACCAAAGCTGAGCAGCGCGGCACTGACGCTTTTTCCAACAAGGTAATTATTATTATTTTTAATATTAAAATCATTTTTAATTAAATAACACTAAGTATTGGATTAGCTGTACATGAATTTTTTTTAACCACACGCTCTCTTCCACATTAAATATAATTAAAAATGGAAATTTTTATTTGCTTTCAGGAACTACCAAACGGAGACTTCAGCGGGATGAGGCCAAGGAAAAAACGTATTTTGAATGAAAAACAATTAATTAAGCATTATTTAATTTTATTAACAAAACTGTGGCTAAATTCTTATTTGATTTCTACATTTAAATAATTTATCAAATTTTGATATTAAACTACTCCACGATATTGCCTCAGTGTATTAAAGATTGTTAAATTTTGTGTTTCAGATTGCCTCAAAAAAGGAGAAATTTCTTTGTGGACCCGCATTTGCCTTTTTTTTGTAAAATCTGGTGTCATTATTTTTAAACAAGAGACCGGAAAGTGATTTGAACTTATGAAGCTCATATTTTATTTAAAAGAAGTCATTTATGTGATTCAAATTTTATATTCATCATGAGGTAATAAATTTTAAATATTTCAAATTTGAATTGTGTCATTTTTTTTACCGATATTTTGATTTTTTTTATATAGTCTTACCGGTATTTCATGATTCGTGGTACACTGATATTTGTGGTACTCGCTCGTGGTACCCCATTCGTTGTACAGCAGTACCACCTCGTGGTGGGCCAATTCTGTGTTACCAGTACAACGAAACGGAGTACCACTTGTGTTAAAATTTGGTGGTACTATTTTCAGTAGATAATTATTTCAAAATATCAGAGAAACCAATGATGCGATGAGAGATTTTTAATATTAAAATACAAATATTAAATAATTAAACATTTTAAAATTGCTCAAAAAATCACTCAAATTCTGTTTTTTCTTCCAGTCATTAGAAAAAGATTATTGAAAATTATTCCATTGTCTCGGAAGGAACACCGAATTTCTGGATAATAAGGTACTATGATAACAAAGAATTTTGCTAAACCTTCCTTGGCTAAAAAGACCCCATCCATCATAATAAGTCCCAAAAGATAAGAAAATTTTAATCGTCAAATTTTAAAAATGATTTCCCTTTTTAAATCAGAAAATTAAAGATCTGATTTTGAAATTTAAAACTGCAGGGATGATAGAATTTTTGGTCCCAGAAAAATTTAGGTCCGGTCCCAGGGCTCACTTTTCAGCGCCCACAAAACATAATATAGAAGGTACTTACTTGGGACACGGGCATCTCAGGAGTCTCGTCGTCAGACAACCACAAGTCGATCTCCCCCTCATCGCTGCTTGTCTCGGACGGCACGCACTCTGGGACCAGTGGGGGACCGTCAATCTTCGAAGGCCTCTCCCTACTGCAGGCAATGTAGATGTTTAGAAGCTTGCCTAGCAAGTAGTGGTCCACATTGAGGATCGTTTCTTCGATGTGAGAATTGACATCATACACGAAAATCTCAAAGGGACTCGGGGAGGCACTCTGCAAAAAAACACAGGAATGTGAATAAATACATCAATTTAAAAAGAACAAAATCTACTCACTCTTGGTGTGAAGAAGTTGATTTTGCGGTTGGAGATGGGAGAGTTGTATCTATCTTTACGCATCATCTGAAATGAAAAATTACACAGTTGGTCAGTGAAATATTTTATTTTTGAACACGTTTGCTGCTGAATTGTTTGTTTAGGTAATGTATAATATGCAGCAGGCTAGGTGGGTGTGGATGAAAATGAATTGGGAATCAACCTGCTACTATGGGTCCAAGTGGAAGGTATTTTGTAGTTATTAAATAAATTAAATTGTTTAAAATGAGGCTGTGTTCATTGGTTTCTGTTGTGATGTGAAGAGAGCATGAATTTCATTAAAATTCTTAAGGATACTGGAAATTATCATTGAAATAGATGGTTACTAACAATCAAATTGCAAAGCAATTAAAAGGAATGGAGAGCACATGGAAAGAAAATGAGTGGTGCGAATTACTCTGCTGGACCTCATGAGAAAACTCCATTTTACTTTTCCTCTGTATCGAATCAACAGTAAAGCAGTGAATCAAACTGCAGGTGCTATAATTTGGAAAGGTTGATCAGCAGTATAATTTGGAAAATAATTCTTTGTTATCCACCACTGGAAACGGTGAGAGTCTAGTCTTTATTGACATTCCTGCGAAATTCATTACTGCGGAAATGATTTGAGAAAAAAAATATAAAAATCATTATTTTCAGTGACAAAACAGTGAAATTGGAGGAGAGCAAGCTTATACGCAGCTAATAAGATGGAAATTATAAATTATGAACAGAACTTCTGCGAATACTCAAGCAGGCAATGTATTTAGACAATGCAGAGTAGTGAGGCCGTAAAGTTAAAATCACTGTTGCGAATTTGCTCTTTACTGGTTTTAAATTTTTTTCTCAGAAACTGAAAGTAAATTACTATTCATCATTTTCTTGCTCATATTAAGATTTCTTGTTGAGAATTTAAATAAATAGTTCGACACTTCAGTCTTCATGTCGACTTTGGGATGTGATTTACCTTCTGCTAGTAAAATAAAAAGAGGTATCAAGATCTGCAATTCTGAAACCGAAGTCTTGTTTACATCAGTATAAACCGGAAGAATAGAAAAAATTTACGCAAGAAGTAAATATAACTCTTATAGTGAAAATGCCTGTGTTCTTGAGATACAAATCAACCGTAGTGTTTTGAAAACTTATTCTTGAAGCTGTGATCCTCGGATTGAAATAATTTACTGTATACTTCACTCAATGCTTATGCAGACTGAAGATTTGACAAAATTTTATTTCAGAGTTTTTTCAGCAGCTAATATAAAATCAGCATTAAAATTGACTTAGATTAGCAGATCTCACAGATCACGCGTTAACTGACTTGGGGTTCAAGGCAGAGTAACTGGAGAGAAACTTTCGTAGTATGGGTAAGATTACTTACGGTGTTGATGATGAATTTTTTCAGGCCTGCTACGTCCGTTATCAATGCCTCAGCCTTGGCACACTCAGTTTTATAAAGAGCTTTGACCACCAAATCCCTCTGTTGAATAAAAAAGGAGAACATTAAAATTTTAGTCAAAAATTAAAGTTAAACAAATATCAATTTTAAGGAAACAAAGCACTTTATTAAGGGTTTGTCAGAAACAACCCAACAAAAAAGGCAAAGGTCGACCAATTTTGATAAAATTTGGTTTTATCACTGGCCATTTGCGATGTTGCTACAACATATAACAAGATATTAAAATTCGGAAATAAGGTTGGCTTTAGGATTTAATAATTAAAGCTTTTCTGCTGCGTGCAGAAAAATTAGGAAGAGGTCAAACCCAAGTTCAGGGTAGTTAAATTTTATGAATTGGAATTTTCTGAGTAAAATTTCTGCTTTTTTCCAAAACCATCCAAATTAAGTTGCCCGACTAAGGAATAACTCTTTTCCAAACTCACTGACTCAAAATACGGACAGTAAATGAAAAGTTTTTGTGAGAATATTAAATTGAATTATAAATTCAAATTATTTACTAATAATCGTCTGAGTGGATGCAAAAAGCTGGTGTTTTCATTTATAAGCAACGTACATAATTAATATTCCACATGGCATTTAAAATTTTATTATCAAAAATATTCCTGCTGAGGTGTTTGCATTCTGACCATGAAAATAAACAATATAAAAAAAAAGCAAAAACGCATATTATGGCCCCAGTGACATCCGAAGGATGACCTTTACCTTGGAAGTGACCATGAAATCAAGTTGTGCGCAAAAAATCAGCGAGCTCAGAACAATCAGCTAGCTCTTGATAGAACAATTCACCTTCAAATAACTTTCAATTCACGCAGCTTTGCTTTCGCTTGTTTATCATTTTCCAAACCAAAAACTACTTTAGAGTGGATGCTGTGTTGGTTTGACATCAACATCACAAAACATGACAAAATAAAAAAAATAAAATGAATGTTGAGATATAATATTTTAACATCCACCATCGCAACCATTGGTATTCAGTGTTATCATGAGGCTAATTTTTCTTGTTGTTGTGATGCTTAATTTGCTGCACGAGTAATTAAGTGTATTGATTGTCCAGTAAATCTTATTACTATACATTACAAACTGATATTTCCCATGCATCTCACTTATTTTCAGCCGTCGGGGCTTGAATAATAATTATGATTTTTTTAAAGCAAATAAATTTTGAAATCTAACAAACTACAAAATTGACGAGTTTTTTATGGGAAAAAAAAAGTTTTTACAAGAGTTTTTAAAAACAGTGTGCAGCAAGATAAAAAATTTGATTCTCCTGTTGGCTGCTGCATTGGAAACTCAAAATTTACTTTTAATGCGTATTATATATCATAATAGGGCACCAGCTTTGAATGAATGAAATTGCCAACTGAATATATTTTGAAGGGCGCAGGCAGCTTAACTTAGGCACAATTCCTTAAAAATTTGACTCTTACCGATGCTTCCTCATACTTGTCAGATAGATCGAAGAGGACTTCATGGAGTGGCTTGGAACGCCAGCCCTGTCCACCGGCTGCGACATCAAGGCACTCCATTCCGATGTCCTTCGCTAGATCACTGCTAAACTGGAACTCAGGGCAGCTTCCATATCTCTCGACGATGGTCCTGAGCACCTCGACGGCCACCGAGGCTTGCAGCGGGGCGCAGAACGGAGGTGTAGGAACTAAATAGAGCCATCTGATGAGAAGTGCCACTTTGGTGGCGGGGTCGAGGACCAGAAGGCAAGCAAGCTCCAGCAAGGCCCTCCCTTGACGGCGGGTTTCGGCGTCGCAGCTCTTGAACTTGTCAGTCATTCTTCTGAACAGTTCAATCAGGCAAACATCCCGCCAGGCGGCAGTGGGGGCCTGAGAGAGCAAATAAGTATTACTTATGAACAATTTATTGACGCTAAATTATAATTTACCTCAGCATACAAAAGGGGGATGCTCACGAGAAGCTCGTCGTGGGACATGTTGCTGAATAAATCAGTGAGGTTTGGTTGCGCCATGATTTCAACCTCTGTAAAACAAACAAAAATCACGTTTAAAAGTTTGTCATGGATTTAAAAATTTTATTTTGCACATTGGTCACTCTTAATAATCAATACAAATAATATAGTTGCTCAACAATTGATAAACTTCTAATCTATTTTAAATACCAATTGAAATAGCAAATTAATCATGAGACTTAATTTCATCAACGTGCAGGCACTTTCAATTGTGCAATTAAATTTTCAGCCACCGTTAATTAAATCTCGTCATAACTCAGACAACTACTGGCACTAACGTTTTTCATCAAAATCTTAAATTTGATTTCAAGAATGAATGCAGAAATCAATTCAATTAATCTTCCAGAAAGACGTCAGGCAAATAAAATGCGGAACCAAAGCCGCTGAAATTTGGATTGGCGAGATCGAGTGCAGCGGCCGAGAACTGCGAAAATAATCGGTAATTCTCTCAAGACATAATTATGGGCGTTTTGGCTTAAATACTTGGATTTCTATTAAGGTGACTTGAAAGGCATTTTTTTGAACCATGAAAATCAATCCGCAGCCGCTAGGGTCAAATTAAATGCCAACTGTGTGCTGGGCTGTTGGCCGACCCGGTTTGGTCAGAAAACGTTTTGCCGAAACGCGATCTGCCTCGGAAGTGCTTTTGTGCAATGAAAAGGGCAAGAGGCATATATTTTTTAAGGGCGCTTCTGAGTCGCATTTGGTAAAAAAAACGATGAATACGCAAAAATTCAGTAAAATATGATTAAAAATAAACATAAAATTTACGAAAATTAACATTTTTATGGCTATTAAGCTATAATTTCAATATAATTCATCTTTTTGCTAAAAGGTAGTCCACGATGGTTAGAGGAAACGAAATTCGCAGAGCCAACACAACTTGTCTCGGGAACTGGACTTCACTGACACAAAATTAGTACTAACAGACTCAGTTTTGCGGAGTCTATTAGACCTGGCGCTGCACCGAACTGCACTCAGAGAACAAAATAGCGATTAAATCGAATTAGACTCGGGTGCAGTCGCTGCGGCCAAAGCGGGTCTTGTCTGTCTACGACTCCTTCCGCGGCGGCCGCCGTTTTAGCCGGCTGCTGTCGGTCGACAATTCGGCCTATTTAGGACCGAATCTCAACCTACATCTTCGCCCCAGCAACACATGATGCACTTGTAAACAGTGAGATTCAAAACCAATCGTAATTGGGCTTGCTCGATTTTTTGTGTGTGCAAACACGAGATGAGTAGTGTAACCTGACGAAGTGCCCAGTGAAATTAAATAATAAAAACAAATTCACCTTCTGATTTGACGACCTTTTTCATTGTTGGGGGCCTAAAAGAGGATGCAATTTCGGGATGAGGAATCTAGTGGTGCGTCATTAATTTTGTGATCCGAGCGGCCGTTGTTGCGCTATGAGCATAAATACGCGCGCCTCTGCTTTACGCTTCACTCAACTCTCTCACTCGACGGCTGCACTCGCGGCGCATTTGGACGTTTGCGCGAATTTAATAATTTATTACTTGGCAACCAAGTAAATTAAACAATCTTATTTTTTATTTTTTTTTTTAATTATTTGTCTGGAGCAAAGTTATTGACGATCCCGCGAGAATTTTTTTGCTTTAATTTTTAAATTAAAGGGAAAAATCTAAAAAAAAAATATAATATAAAACCTTGCAGAAAATTGTAGCTAGTTAAATTCACTACAATTTATTTTGCAGACTTTTGGGTCTAAAAATATTTTTTGAATTTACCAACGAGCTGACCAAAGTCGAAACATTACTTTTTCTCATTGGAAAAAGTTTTTGTAGTTTTTTTCTGAGATCTCAAATTCCATCAAAATAGGTTGAATCGCTTTGAAGTAAGCGCATATGGACTAAAAACATGCTACTCGGCCTCAACGACATCCATTTAACTCTGTAATTTAAAATCGGCTCAACATATTTTGATGAAAATTGAGTTTAAAGATCAAAATTAAATTTTCAATCGATTGGCTATCTCAAAAATAATCAAAAAAACTTTTTTAATAAAAGACAAAAGTAATATTTAGACTTTGGTTATCCCATTGGTAAATAAAAATAATAATTTTAGAACCAAAAGTCTACGAAATAAATTGTAGTGAATTTTACTGGCTACTATTTTCTGCAAGATTTTTTATTTTTTCAAATTTTCCCCTTTAAATTAAAAACTAAAGCAACGAAATTCTCGCGGAAACGTCAATAGCTTTGCTCCAGATAAATAATTTTTAAAAAATTATTAAAAAAAAATAAAAAATTAAATTAATTAATGTACTTGGCTACCAATACTGAGAATATGAAAGATTTTTCTCGACGCTAAGTAATAAATTATTAAATTCGCGCAAACGTCCAAATGCGCCGCGAGTGCAGCCGTCGAGTGAGAGAGTTGAGTGAAGCGTAAAGCAGAGGCGCGCGTATTTATGCTCATAGCGCAACAACGGCCGCTCGGATCACAAAATTAATGACGCACCACTAGATTCCTCATCCCGAAATTGCATCCTCTTTTAGGCCCCCAACAATGAAAAAGGTCGTCAAATCAGAAGGTGAATTTGTTTTTGTTATTTAATTTCACTGGGCACTTTGTCAGGTTGCACTACTCATCTCGTGTTTGCACACACAAAAAATCGAGCAAGCCCAATTACGATTGGTTTAGACTGCCACTGTTTACAAGTGCATCATGTGTTGCTGGGGCGAAGATTTAGGTCGAGATTCGGTCCTAAATAGGCAGAATTGTCGACCGACAGAAGCCGGCAAAAACGGCGGCCGCCGCGGAAGGAGTCGCAGACAGACCCGCTTTGTACGCAGCGACTGCAGCCGAGTCTAATTCGATTTAATCACTATTTTGTTCCCTGCAGCGCCGGGTCTAACTTCGTGTCAGTGTTTGTTCTGGTCGCTTGAAACGTCAAACATTGATCAAGGCTTTGACGGTTTTTTTTTTAATTTACTGCGTATTAATGATTTGGCTTGAGAAATATATTAAAAAAGAAGTTTATAACAAAGATTAAAAAAGGCGAAAAATTAATTTCAGATGAATAATTTAATTAATATGATAATGAATTAAGCAAAAATTGTTCTGTTATCAGCATGTTCGCCTGACTTGGCGTTTTTTATCGTAAGTTAATTCGAGTAAATCGGACTTATCTATGAACCTCCTCTCGTATGCCAATTAGCTTTTTCTACAAAGCAGCTAGAGCTATATATTTGGTTGAAACTTGAATACGATGGCCTAAAATTAAATTTCCATTCGATTGGCTATCTTAGCAATAGTAGTATTAAAATTTAGATCATTTTTGGATTCCTCGCAAAAAATCAGCAACAAAGGCAATCTCTGAATGAGGAGCGATCCTCAGGGTAAGCCGTGAAAAAAGAAAAAAAAATCGAGGTGTTTTCGGTGAATTTTTTCAGGGTTAAAAAGGCACAAATCGGAGTTACATTTGGTCGGAAAATTTAAAAGTGCCCGCTCTATACACGGGTTTGAAATTTCAGACCGCCGCCTTTGGATAGCGGCTGAAATTTATTTTCCACTCGCCACAGTATTCCTCGCGCGCGGCCGCCCGACACGTTAATTTCGCCCTTTAAGGAAAATGCGTTCAAATTTCGTTAACGGCTTATCGGTTTATTCGCTCTTTATACAATTCAATTCCCTCGTTGAGACACCGTATGGACCCTCAAATTTGTTCGTCAAAAATTTTCGATACAAGTATTAAAATAACAAAATTCTCGTGGAAACGATACCAACTTTGATCAAGATAAATCTAATTTTTTTTTTTTAAATAAAAAAGGAAAAGTAATTAAATTTAAAATGATGATTGTAATGATTGCTGAAAATTTGAAATTTTTAATTGTTGTGAGCGGCAAAGAGCTTAATGCCATCCGCATTAATTAATGTTTGTATCACAACACGTGAGCTCAAAATTATTTTAATAAAAAAATCCGCACTATATCCAGTAAATTAAATTGGGCGCGCTTTGTTGAAGAAGCGAAACGTTTTAAGCTCTTTTCTGCGAATGATGTTCGTCCATTTGGATCCAAATCGAGATTGAGCGAGCTGCATTTTTATTTTGACGAAAGCAAAATTAGGTCACGCGCAGTCACATTTAACAGTAAGCATCAGTTGATTATGTACTGAATTTGCATACAACATGCTAATTAGTTGCATCACTTTGTTCGTCTTTCGCAATTTAAAAAATTAAAAAAAGCGCGTCGACAAAAAGCTCAAACACCAGGGTTCGTAATTTATAATAATGCATTCATTGTTAGAGTTTTCTGTTTATGTTTTTTTAACGTGTATTTATACTCGTGATGGGGGCGCATTTCAAGAGACAAAAGATTATTGGAAAAACTTCAATTTAATTTCCTATTGATACATGCACAGTATAGTTGCAAATATATTGCGCAGTTAAAATTAACTTTCCAATTGAATCTTAGAAAATACTTTAAAACTTATGCCATCCATAAAATAACAAATTCTGACTTCGAGTCCTCCTAGCGTAAGTAATGAAAATTGCAACGGCATTGCCAGTATTACAATTAAGAAAGATAATTTAATTGGCTACCTTTTTTAAATGCGTTTTTAATTTCAAAAATTTTCTCCACATGAAAAATTAAAATTAAATATTTGCCGCAAAATGCTTTCAAACTCGGCTCAAGATACTGATTTGATAATATAAAAAAGTTGCATAAGTTCATCATCTATCAATGCTTCAAATATGAAGTTGATTAATAAATTCGTTTTAATTAAATTTTCAATTGGCGCGATTTTATTATAATACTTTAAACAAATTCAAAACATTATAACCTTATCAATAAAATTCAAAACATTTCTCGATTAAAATTAACTAGGATTTTTCAGCACAAGCTCCCTTGATAGGTGCAGCGCCGTTGAACCCTCATTTACATTTAGTCGCATTCAAATATTTTTACATTTTGATAAATTTCAAAACATTCCTCGATCAAAAATAACTAGGATTTTTCAGCACAAGCTCCCTTGACAGGTGCAGCG